TGTGGTCACTTGGTATTGCGACATCCACCACAACGGCTTTCCTCTGTTCTTTATCCACCACCACAATTGGTTCGCCATTACCATCTTGTCTGTCTGGATCTGGAAGTCCCACAGGATCTTAGCTCGGTCATTCTCCACCACCTTTGGGGGTGTTCCCCACTTCAATCTTGGGGCTTCCAGTCCATATATATATTAGGCATAAATATTTGGAATACAGTACCAACTGAGCCAACACCAAGGCTGTTAACAGAATTAAACTTTTGTGTTGGAGATGATGCTCAGCTACTGAATGTCATAAAGGTTGTGTTTTCTGAGATGAGCTGTTTTCAATAAAGAAGTCTTGCAGTCTGTGAGCACTCAGCCTCAGCTACAACCACACCAAATATTCAGTTAATATCTAAAAAATATTTGTAGAGACTGAGTTGAAGTTATTCTTGAGGAGGAACACTCTTATCTTAAGCTTTTGGCAACTAAGGGTTACTATGAATTCTCTTCAACAGTGTATCTGTTTGCCACTGTCCCATAAAACCCATGTACAGTATTGTGTATCCAATGGTTACTTTCTTAGAGATTATTAAAGTATGTCCAGTGATTCGTGAGCTTTTTTGCTAACAGTCAAACTGTGCTTCAGGCAAAAATATTGTTCAATGTGGAACCTTGGAGTACGAGTGTTAGGAGTGATTTACAACTATTAAAAAGTTTTGCCATTTGCCGTTTATGTGTTGTGCCTACAGTCTCGATATGACCTGACTCTAAAAGTTAAATCAGTTGTAGACAGGGGCGGAGCCAGACATTTTTCTCAGGGGTGGCCAGACGGGGACCACTACTCACACAAGGGTGGCCAGGAAAATTACATAATTTTAACTTGAAAGTTTCTGCAGATCTTTGTGTTTTGGTCATTTTCTTATGTCCTTATACAGGGAGTGACTACCTTACTTACCTTCCATGAGTGTTATGGTGCGTTCACACCGAACGCGATTTCAGCGTCAGGAGCAGCAGGTTTACATACAAAGTCTATGGTGGACGCGCTTCAAGCAGCGTCGGGAAGTGCTGCGACGCCTCAAACGCGATTAGAGCAGCACGATTTGAACGATTTGAATGATCTGAGCGTTCGATGCGCTGAGGCGCAAATCGCTGAAGTTAGAAAATCTGAAATTTTTGCAGCTCGACGCTGCGCGTCAACCAATCAGAGAGACTCCACTGTGTGATGTAGCGACATATTTCCCGACAGGACAGTTTACTGAATGATGTCCACTAACCTGAAACAGACGGAGAGGAGCTCTTTAGCTGAAATGAGTGCCTGCAGTCGGTGTCCTGATCCGCAGCAATGCGTGACAGCGACTCATCAGACTGGAAAAATAGTCCTGAAAGCGAGCTGTGAGCCTCTACTCTGAATTATCTGGTGAATTAATTATGAATTAATTATCTGATGAACGTGACATGCTCTTGCTCTCTGTAAATAAAGCAAAGCCACTTCCTCGTCCGACATTAAACAGAGCCCGARAGAGGAGGGAGGGGCGGGGAGGCTGTTGCCATGCAGCGCTTCAAGAGCTGACCTGCGTCTGACCTCAAAGTGCACAAACTTCAAACTTCAGCGTTGGCTGCGATTTTGAAGCTGAAATCGCGTTTGGTGTGAACGCAGCATTAGAACCATTTTCAAAGTGGGGGGACACACTGTTGGAGTGTCTGGGGGTCCTCCCCCAGTAAATTTTGAATGAAATAGATGCCCTTTGTAGCATTCTGGTGTATTTTACCAGGTTGTTTAACATACTTTTACTTCCATAAATAAACACTTGATTTAAAAATTATTTCAGAGACAGATTATTCATCAAACTAGTTCCATCATCCTGTTTTAAACTCACTGAGATAAGGTTATTTAAAGTGTCACAATTTATCATATCTAATGACTATAGGGATGGTTTTTACTTTTATTTTGTTTATTGATTTATTTTTAATTTTAACACGTTGTTGTGCCAAATAATGATGACCTTCATCTGCATGTTTTAAACTAATATTAATAACTTTACCCAATGAACAGGTGCAGCATTAATAATCACAAACAGTGAATTTAAAGGGGCATTTAACTTTTTCTGATTTAGTGATAGGTCTACTACTGACCAAAAGGGACATCACGCAGCCTTCATAACATAAAATGACACTGTGTTATGATGACAAAAAAACAAAAACATTTGTCACCATAAGTCAGATAACACAGGCATATTCAAATTCAAGATTCAAAGTGTTTATTGTCTTATGCACAGATGAAGACATTTCCCTGAGCAATGAAATTCTTACTTTGTCGTCCATTTTGAATGCCAAGAGATAACCATATTAACAAAAGAAACGAATCATCACCGAAAGGACACAAACAATGTTGATTAGATAAAAAGAAGAGACTAAACTAAGGATAATAACATCAGAAGGGAACAATAAAATAATGACAACAAGAAGGGAACTGTACAATCTATACATGTTCATAATATGTTCTGTATATAAAGAAAACAATCACTTCTTTGTCACTTCTTTGAGCTTGGTGATGTGTCAAACTATTAAACACTGCCACCAACTGTTCAGGAGGATTATTACACCCCTAAAGGTTGTTTCACTGTGGAAGGGGTGTGTACTGCAGGGTGGCGAATGGGGTGGCCAAAAATTTGTCTGCGGTGCCTGGTTCCACCCCTTACGGAAGCGTATTGCTATCACGCAGGAAAAAAAAAATCTGAGCACTATCACGTTTTAATGTGATACATATCTTGTTAAAACGTGATACGTATCACGTTATAACGTGATAGTATCTCGTTAAAACGTGATCCGTATCTCGTCAAAACGTGATAGTATCTCGTTAAAACGTGATCCGTATCTCGTCAAA